ATGGTGAGATTCTCTAACACCTGGTGTAGACAGAATCCATATTTTGTTGTTCTTTGATACCTAAGAATCAAATGACGCAAAATAGTCTCTCCGTCCGTCTGTCCGTCCGTCCATATTTCTGTCTGCCTGTCGGTCGGTCCGTCTGTGCACAGCGCTAGTGGCTAAACCGTTCGGCCGATTTTCTCAAAAAATGATATTCCCCAATATATATGGTCGCTTTAAGTTAAAACCGATATTTTTATTTTTTGGGGGCAGAGTGTACTTTTCAGGAAGCCCCTAGGACACTTTCAAAATTTTTAAATAAAGGCTCCATCGTTTTTGATTTAATTTTTCTGTTGGATAGAGTGAAGAACGTTTAAGAGAAGGATGCAGGTCTCATGTTCGTTGAAAACTAATTTTTCGAAAATTGAAAAAACTGAAATATTTTTCGTCTTCCAATAACTACAATTATGGGTATAGAGATTTCTTCCCTTAATAAAATCTGTTGCTTAAAGACAAAGTTTGAAATAAACTTATGCACATTTTTTTCGAAAATGTGAGTACTTTACGCGCAATTTTGCGTGAAAATACGTGCAAGAATGTACGGATTATGTAACATGCTGTTTTCGCACCACTAGTAGTCAAAGCGCAATCAAAGGTGCTCGCGAACGGCAGGAAACGTCGGGAGCCGCAGGTCTTCCTGCTGCCACCGCGGCGCTCCGCAGCCAGCACCGAACGTCCTTTGGCGACCGCATCTGCAACAGCCCACAGCCCGGGGAGAACCTTGCGGAGTTCCTTTCTCAACCGCGCAGGAAGTCGACGGTGTTTTGTTTTCTTCGCTGCGGCGATGATGTTACTATTATCTAATTTCAACCGATTGTCGAATATGAATCCTACAAGAGTCACAAATTATTTCTCTGGTTTCTCTGATCTACACCATGCAAATGCTGGAACAGTACTCTAAGAAATGGACCACGGTCCGGTCTTTTCTTCGTCGGACCAAGCGATATTTCCTCCCTCTTCCTTGTCTTATCCTCACCCCTTACACACACTTAAATTTACATGTCGGGAGACCGGTCGGAAACTTAGAGCTTGTCTCAACTGGAGCAGTTGCCCGCTGGTGAGAGATACCTGGTTGTGGATGTGTCCGCAACCTGACGGTAGGTCGACGGATCTCACCATCCAGCGGAGTAAATCACTGCCACCTCTCGCGATAAAAAACTTGCAATAACTCACGGAACGTATGACTTTAGCAGTTAACGCACCCGAAATCAGTAATCAATCAGTCAATCACAAATTATTTGGAAAATCTTTGAGAAAAAATAGATCGCCATTTCGCTGACGTTCACCATCCTCTACCATCAATAACTTACATGAATATTTCTAAAATTAACACAACATAAGGAGGAAAATTATCCACTGAAAAAAGAGAGAGAAAACTGCAAGCCAAAGCATTATTTTGTCATGATAAAAATATATACCTAAAATAAGCTATTTATTTATTTAACAAGTGATCCTACAACACACTTTCTCGTACTAATCACAAGAGCTCTGGAAATCGTTAAAACTAAGTGAAGATTTTAAGTACAACTTCGTTTTCTCCAAGCGATGCTGAACTGCATTCACACTGCCAAGAACACGGAGGCTGTGAATACCGTGGAAGGTGAACGGAGGTCCACAGACAAAAAAGACAAAAAAGAAGACGCTGTGTCTTGCAGCAACCAATTACGGAGCAGGTTCCAGGACTCTTTTTAAAAACGCCTTCCGCGCAAGCGACAGCGCCTGCTTCCCTCCAGTTCACTGCAGCTGGCCAACGACAGTGCACCTGCGCGACGCCGACGCCGTGAAACCAACAGCCTCCTTCGTCTGATTTTGGGAGGTTTCTGACTCCAAGTTGCCAATTCATCAAAGGTGAGTAGAAAGGTTGTGGAGACATATAAAAATATAAAATCGACATGTTCAGTGCATTTGTTTTTTGAAACTATTGTTTCCTACGCACAATGAAGGCATCGTAGTACGACTGTGAATTATTCCTTACTGGAAGAAGCATTATTAAATAAACTTGTACTGTGAAAAATACTTTTATAAACAATACGCAATACAGTACTTATACAATAAATATTGTTCTGTAAGGTGAAAAGAAATGTCCGATTCAAAGAATCAAAAATGAACGCCTTATCAATCTAAATTGAAGTATATAGAAAGCTGAAACATATAGTATTAACAGTAGCATATAGTTTTAATTCCATGCGTGCAATTACCATAGATATAATCAACATTTTTCATGAAATTAATGAGCATACTTAGTTAAGTAAAAGAAAAAAGATTTAACAAACGAATTTGATGACTGTTTACTTTTAGTTGTCTAACTGTCAGAACCAAATGTATTGGAATTTTTAAGTAACAGATAAGAGGAAATCATGAGTAACTTTTCCTCGAGAGTCCTGACGTGGCGAAATAGTACATTATTTTATTTTTGTTTTGAAAATACGTATATGTAAGCAAAGTTTATAAAACTAATGATGTTAAATTATTACAAAAAATATTTTGGGATTACGCCACAGACATTGCAACGAGAGTGCGAAAAAACATGATATTGACATAAAATGAATTATTTATCTGAGAATACTAAATTACGCAAAAGCGATTGAAATAGGAGTAGGGGATCTTAACTCATCTGATCCTGTTTTGTACATTAGTAGAGAATGGAATTATACAGGCACTAATACATCAGTTATGTCATTGGTTCATCTGCGAGTGTACTAGGTATGAAATGACCAACAAATTGAAAGTTACTCTGGAAAACGTTGAAAAACTACAAGTTTCGTGTAAATTGGCATCTGTTACAGATTTTAAATCTTTACATCTGAAGGATGAAAATGATCAACCAAGAAGTATTACTTTCGTTGATCGTGGTTTCCTTATCCCCACTAGTTTTTTCGCTCTCCTGTGAACGTCCACCTTCTCAAGAACTTTGTCAGAGCTTCTCGCCCCAATGCTTAGCGGTGAACGCGAAGAAATGTGCTGCAGCGGGGGGCCAACACTTAATGAACGCAAATTTCTGCAATCACTGTGACATTTGCGGAAAAAATATGGGTAAGTTAATTGCAGTTGACTGTTATAGACGGAGATTGTGCCTAGGGTTACAGAAAATGTATTTTTTGTTAAATTCATTTGGTTTAAATTCAGAATTTCTGATGTTCTTGATCGAAATCTTGTATAATTAACTAATTATTCACTAAGCTGGTCTACAAACAGATTTCCATAGATATGCTCAGGAAATTCAACTTAAGTATCAATTTTGGAAGTGCCATCTGTAGAAGTATTTTGGCAAAATTAATTTTCTGAATTTATTTGAAAAGTGCATAAGAAAATGAATATTGCGTAGATGTCTTATAAATTTGTGGACTTAGAATACGAGTACTATTCTCTGTCTTGGCGTGTATTACATATGGAGTAACAACTGAAGAGTGAACATTAGAAACCCAGGAAACACACAAACTAAAATTTTATTTATGCTTTTGACTTCCAATTGATAATAAAGCCGATTTTGATATTAACCGTTCCCAAAGCATTTTTTTAAAAGATTTGGAACAGTTTTTGAGAAAATATTCTTTTTAATATTAGCCATATTTCACAAAAAATATATTTTATACCGTCCTTCGATACACTGAGGAGGAAATTTAAAGAAACAATTTGAGGCCGTTTTATGAGATAAAAATTGCAAATTTGCCTTTATTTCATGCAAAATTACACGTAAACAACTTTATTTATACAATATTTCACGATCTGTCTTTGAGGAACAGATTTTATTAAAGAAAAGAGGGACCCAATTTAACACAAGTTGTAAGAAGCCCCCACCCCCAAATGAACTGTAGCAATTATCAAAAAATAAGGGTTTTCAACAAAAATTAGAAATTCGACATTCTTTTAAGCATGCTCTACGTTATCAGTGAACAAAGTTCATTAAAAAAAACAGGACACATTTTTGAGAAGATTTTGAAATTGCTGGTGAGTCTTTACGCAAAGAATCCTCCAAAATCAAAATATCTTTTTCAAACTCGGAGAGCATCGAGTTTAATCAAATTCTCCGAGAAATACCAACTTTGGAGAAAATGTCTCAACTATTTAGGCTCTAGTATTTACCACTTACAGACGAACGCACAGACTGTCAGAGACTGACGGACGTTTGCCATGAATTGATATTTCGGCGTCAAGGACGCACAAAATATGGATTCTGACTACACAATGTGTTAAAGGAAATAAATTACGAGTACTATACAGAGGAGCAGGATTTATCCTCTTTTTTGTTACCAGGGCTCGTCAAGAACGCGTTTTTCGGTTGAAAATGTGTCGTTTTCCGGCGTCATATCCATGAATGATGAACAATCGTATATCGCACAGTATTAGTACTCCTTGGTGCTTACTGTTTAATATTGCTCAAGACAGTGTCTGAGTAAAATGAAAGAACCTCTACTTTTACCCTATTTTCAATATATATTGCATAGATACACAAATAGCTAGTACGCCACCAGCAGATACAGACTCCTCGTTTGCCACAAACGTGGACTGGAAGGGGCCTCTGTAGTAATTTTTTCCAATGCTATAGCTTCTCTGCGATCCATTTTATAAAACAACAAAACCCATAATAATAAAATAATAATAATAATAATAATAATAATAATAATAATAATAATAATAATAATAATAATAGGTAATACTGTGTGAAAACTGTAAGCGCTATTTAGTAACTTGTAAGTAATAAGTGATCATGCTTTGATATGTATCTGTGTGATCACTGTAATTCCAGAAAGCTGTGAATAAAGATGAAAATAATAATAATAATAATAATAATAATAATAATAATAATAATAATAATAATAATAATGTTCCTCTACTTAAGGATTAAAGATGTTAGCAAACTTCTGACTAAAATAAACTACTCCAGGTTGGATAACAACACTCTCGAAGGATCCGAAAACAAAAGCCCAGTTTCCCACCAGCCCACCAAAACGCGTCGAATGCCCCTTCGCTTGCCCTCCATGGTGACCGGAAGGGATGTGTCCGTGAACGCCCATCGGGAGGACGAACACGTGCAGGATATCCCATTGCTATTATCCGGATATCCGTTCCTTCGCATTATGGCTAAACTTGTTGCAGGTGCTGGGGAGGCGTGCCACAACAGCATCGCGACTCCAGAAGGAGAGTACCTCAGCGGCGTATGTGTGCCTCCGTTCATCTGCTCACGGAATTCAGACGGAGTGTGTGTGAGGCCGGAAGACTGCGAATACGAAACTACTGAAAAACCCACAACTCATTGAAAATCAATATATTACGACTTAACTAGTAAATAATATTTTTCTCAAGAGCAAATTTGGTACTTTTTAGACAGCCTCTAGTTCAGCTCTAGTAAGAGAGGTTCCTTCAGGGTAAGCACAACTGTTTAAATTTCAGTTTTTAGCACTAGGGCTAAAAATTAAATGATGCTGGAGTGTTCTGATAAATCTACGAACGCAACAAAGAAAACAAAATACTTTCATGTAAGCGCATTACCTTGTATCATTATGTTATTTGTTAACTAAAATGAAAATAACATGAAAGTCAGTAGGGGTGTCTAAAATTAGTGTATGACACACGTGATAAAAGTGATTTTATTTTGCTCGTAGAATTCCGCCACTGGGTTTATCGACTTCGTGTGACATTTCGTACTCGCAAAATAAAATGCCTCTTTTATCACTCGTATCATAAATAATTACATCAACAATAATTCCAATTATAATAAATGCGCCAATTGTTCATTCTACAAAAATATTTTAATTTAAAAGATTTATTTACAAAATGGAATTTGTTCCTTTGTGTTGTGTCACTCAAGTAGATGCTTTACATGCAAACAGATTGCAAACTTGCTGGATCCAGAATACGAAAAGTAAAGAAAATAGTTTGTAAATTAATGGGTTTACTGAGACTCACCTTCTGCTTAGAAATAAAGAAATGTTTGTGTAGAAATAAAGATAAAATTATTATTATTATTATTATTATTATTATTATTATTATTATTATTATTGATTCAAACATTTTCTTTTTTCAGCATTCCTTAGAAAATGGCATCTTCCTTAGTATCTTATAAATCGTTTCAAAGTAATAAAATGTCAGTTCGCTATGGAATATTTTTAACATTCAATAAGTGATTGATTTCGAATATTTTGAAAAAGAAACGGAATAACCTTACATCTTGTTTAAAATGTTCCTTCTACAAGAAGGTTGCAGTGAAACATACTCCCTCCTAAAAAATATATATATCTTAATTTATGCATTATAGACTTCAATTATTCATTACGCAAACTGAGATTTTTATTATTTTCATTAACTTCACTTTATTGCGAACTGATGTCATGTGTTATTAATCTAATAAAGATGGATTACCAAAATTTGTAGATTTGTATTCAGTGACTTCCGAATGTTTGTTATGAAATGAAGTTTCTTCACCAAATAAATTACATGTCAGGGTAAAGAGAAAAACGCAGTGTTAAGGGGTTCATTCAATTAACTTTTATATAACACTATTCTAAATAACTATGTTATTCAGTTAAGAATAGAAATTTGTTAGTGGTTTCTTATCATTTCAGAGACTCATTTCACATCGCGTGGGAAGCTGAAATGTCTAGTTTTAATATGAAGTCATGGAATTTATTTACAATGAAGCTAGTCTTCCTACTTGATGTGAACATACATGATCATTCGGTGAACAGAATGAGTTATTTTTTCATTTCATGCAAATACCTCCTTCTAGTATATTCCCTGAAGTTTGCCATTAACTAGTCACTAACAAGCCACTACATAAGACATACGTGATACTTTTATTCAAATAACTTAGAATTACTGTATTTTAAATTCTTTAGTCACAATGATGAAACTGGGGGGAAAATTGAAATGTCAAAGTTAAAAATACATTTATTCTTAAACAAGAAAATCAATCCCTGAATGTGTAAATGTTAAATACAACAACGTTAAAATTTATGATCTTTCTAAATAAAACAACTTAGTACTATTTTTCAATTATTTATTTTAACGTTTCGACCCCGTTTACGTTTTTGGCCTTTCTCAAAACATGGTATAAAACATTACTTGAAAACTGAAGCAATAAATTTATCAAATGTTATAAAACTAGTGATGCTGCAACAGCACATACTTTCTCGTGTTATTTGTAACTTTTACAATATTCAAAAATTATTAAATTCAAAGCAAATCGGATTCATTTTTGTAGCGTATTTCGCACTATCAGATAAAATATAAAGAGGACCCATGTTAAGAAACTCTTGGTCTAAATTTTTCCATTATTTCACGCAACTTTACGTAAAAAATACTCTTATTTTGACAACCTTGTACTGAAGTTTTATGATATAATTTTAAAGAAAATATTTAAGTCTAAATAACTCTACGTTCTAAATTGTTGTTTTAGGAAATCGACGTTTTTTTTTTTCAATTTTCAAAACTTCGATGAATTAAACGAAAATTGGACCTGCGCCATTTTTAAGAATTCTTCACTCTATTCCATGAAAAGAAAGTAGGTATCTGAAAATTTAGAGATATTTTTAAGATATAATTGAAACTACCTCAAAGCTTCATGTAAAGTACCCCCAAAAATTAAAACGTATGTTTCAAATTCAAGATCGCGACAGTAGCCAGATGGATCACGGAATATCAATTTTTGTAAAAATTCTACTTTCAGTTTAGTCACTAGCATTCAAAGCGTAGGCTTCTGCGGCAGAGGCCAATATCTATTTGACTGACCGGGAGTCGCTGCGTCTTCGGCATAAATGCCAACGTTTCGCCCGTCGTTCTGCGATCGTCTTCAGGGCGAAATCCGCGGAGATGGATTGTGCACGGTCGGCCGGTCTACCAGCCACTCATGTAAGGGTCCCCCTGGGCGGGGTGGGAGAAGAGATACGTCAGTGGTGGATCGTGAAAGAGCAGAGAGGATTGACGATGCAGGGAGAGAATAGGATCGGGAAGAGCAGAGGGATGGGATCAGACATGACCAACCGTCGCGGTGAATAGATGTTTCCAGGCCACTTGAAGACAGAACTTGACCAGCATTAAGGTTTGGGGGATATTTGTTGATTTCCACAGCCTCTTTTACCATTTTCGGTTCCCAGCGGTCTTCCCTGATCAGGAGGCGGGTGGTGTCAAAAAGAAAGACGTGGCCAAATTTCCACGCGCCACGCCGGATGTTTATATAATTATAACTGTGGTGGCGAATGTGTTCTCGGAGGCATTCCTCAATAGCCCTCTCCGTCTCGCAGATGTAACTGGGTCACAGATGCGTGAGATCTCATACACTCCTGATGACGGACGAGGTGAGATACGGTCTTCATCGCTCGCTAGCTTTTGACCGAGTTTTCGTGGGCTTTGTCGACCGTTTTTATATCAAAGCGGCTCCAAATCTTGCGAATTTCGTTCAGTGGCTCCTTCAACACATGGTAAAATCGTTATCTTGCGGTTGGCATCGTCATTAGGTGTACTTATGTCATCCGCGGTGGAAGAGGTGGTCGCTGCCTGCCGTACGGCATGATGGCAGCGTTAGCACATTTAGCGTGTGTGAACTAAGTAAACGCGAGGACCTTGTCGCGTACCATCAGACAAGGGCAATGCCACGGTGGTCATAGAAGCATTCGGTTACCATTCCAAAGTTGAAGCGTTGCTCACAGATGAGTCCTATGTTGTTCTGAGATACTGCCGTATGTGAGTACTCCCTCCCGTGAGTACTCCCGTATACAAAAGAGGTCGCGGCATAGACTAAGGAGGTATATATCATTACTCTATGGTTGCTGCACGGGCGAATAACACGGTGGTAATAAAAAAGGAGGCCATATCTAGTCTGGAACGTCGTAACCACTATTTACAACGCAATGCTGGCTGACGTTAAAAACAATTAAAGCCGGCCCACAAATGTAATTAAAAAATTAAAATATTTTTTGCTGCATACCTGCTTTTATACTATTAGAGTCTATACTGAACATCAAAAAGAAAAATAATATTTATTCCAACAAAACAATGATATACAATGCATTAATTTACATTTGCTTTATTTCCACATGGCGCAGTTCTCATTTTCGTTGAATTCCCGAAACCTGCAAATTTATAAATAATACGAGAAAGTATATGCTGTCAGCGTTTCTTCATTAAATCTGTTCTTTTTGACTGATGTTGAAATAAAGTCATGAAAAGGTTTCGAAAATACAAATATTTTGTCGTAATTTTGCCTCAAATAAAGACATATTTTAAACAATAATGATCTAAAAAAATAATTTCCACAATTTTCTCCTCGTATGTATTAAAGGTAATTTAAAAACGTGTTGCCGGTCACTTTTTCGGCGCACGCTCTAAAGTTTTGGAAATTGAAAAAATTAACATCACAGAATTACAATATTAATGATAGAGATTTTTGACATAAAGGGAATCGATTATAAAAAGTCAAATCTTTAAAAAATGTTTGTAGAATTATAGAAAAAAAGAATAGTTTTGCGTAAATTCTGGTTGAACTTATGGTGTTTAAAAAAACATTTTCTCAAAAGTATTATTATTATTATTATTATTATTATTATTATTATTATTATTATTATTATTATTATTATAGTATGTCTTGTTGGTGGATTAAAATGCAATACTCTAGTTATAATTGATATGAAAAAGGCTCGGAGAAAAAAAATGTTGATGTAAATACCTCTTAGATTATGTACATTATTTCCCGCAGTCATTACACGTATCAGGATGAGATAGGTTTGTTAGCCGGTGGTCGTTTTGTGGTTTTCAATCTGTGATAATGTTTGCAAGACGTTTTTCTGTGGTTTTTCTTCTGCTGTACTGAAGTGATGAACTCTCGTGCATGCTTTACATGTGTGGTTCGGCAAAAAGCTACGTTTGGGGATCTCATTGCTCGAATAACGATCAATATCCTAATCGCTGTTTGCCCAACCAAAATATTTTTTAGTGGTGCGTAGCCGCAAATGCAAATTTTTGCCTACCCACCACCAGAAGACACATGCCATTGGTCTTCATTATTGTGAAAGATGTACAAACTCGCCAGTACTTTTCGTTTGTTTTGCCTGATTTTGTACTGTTTACGCCTGAGTTTGACAGTACGCACCACTGTGTCTTGTGCGTATTCGTAGATGTATGGAAAAGTGTAAATTGCGGCATTACAACAGTTTGTTCGAGAAAAATGAGTTATCTTGATTCGTTAATTAAATTTAATTACGTCTGCTCAGTTCTACACCTAGTCGTACTATACCCATTAGAAAATAAGAATTAACCTGTTTAGTGCTAAAATAAAAATGAAACACATACTTTAATGGTTATACGAGTATGTACAAAAACAAAGTCCCATTCGCATCAGACTGTTTGTCTGCTAAAATCATGATACTATCATGTTTATTACAATGTAGTTACTACCATTGCATAGAATGTACAAAGGATTTGGTGCAATCTTTAAAAGGCATGATTAATATAATCACTCACCGCGATGAGGCGCTAGGCAAGGACATCACTTTCATTTTACACTAAAGTTGAAATTGGTTTTTCCTGTCTAAAAGACACTTGGGATAAGTATACGAGCCCTAAGATAAACGAGAGGGACAATTAGGATCGCAATGTTAAAGCGAGAGAAAAACAAAATACGTTTATTTTCACATTAGAGAGTGTTCAATACAATGAAAAGAGAAAGCCTACGTGTTACAATACAATACAGCAGATGTTCTTATATTGTTACATTGCTGCATTATATTCTCGCAAAATGTAACGCTATTAATATATTATAAATGTTCTGAGTTATTAATAGGTCGTTGCAATTTTATAGATAAAAATTATGTACGTCATGCTGTGTCATTGACCATTAACTACTCTACCTCAGCATGTAGTCTCACGCCATGTTTTCTTTCTGAAACCGGTTTACTCCAATCAGAAACAGGTTACTGCAAAACGAAAGATACGAGGAAACATCACCTGCAACATTGTACTTCCCAGTTCCATCCGGAGAAGCAATAAAAACAACGAAATGACGCGCGCCAAGCCAAACTCAAGGCCGGCGGATATGACGATATTGGCGAACATTTCGTAATCAACTCAGAATGAGAATATATATTCATATTAGGATTACACACCAAAAAGGCAC